TGAAATGCGTAGGAATAGGAGCTCCAGTGGCGCAATCGGTTAGCGCGCGGTACTTATATGAAATGCGTAGGAATAGACGTTTCAATAGAAGTCTCTACTGCTCCCACCATGGGTTCCAGGAAATGTTTGCGTGATGTGATACGCAGCAAGCGCAGAGAAAAAGAGATGATTCATCTACTGGGGGGGAAGTCATTCATTTGCAGACAAGAAGTGCCTGCTGTGTGTCAGGGACAGGATAGAGATGGAACATTCCTGGAGAGTCCAGGTCTGGTGGGTGGGAGAGGCACATAAAGGAACAATTGGGGCAAGTGGGAGAGCCAGAGAGGAGTGGCGAGCGTGGGGTGGGCGCCGTGCACACTCCCCTGAGGATCCAGATCAGCTTGTGGAGATGAACTGCATCGTAAGGGATGTGGAGATGAACTGCATCGTAAGGGATGTGCAGAAGTCACCTAGAGAGGTGTTACAGAAAGGGGGAACTAGCCAGCATTAGGTGAGCAGGCAGGAAGGGGGAGCGCCAGACAGAGGCTGAAGGGGAAAGCTGAGTCAGGCGACCAGAGGCCCTTGTGGGCCCTGCAGTGGCCGGTGAACTGACTTATTGAGCGTCTTCTAGATTGTTTCACTAATAAGAAAACTGAAGCTCAGAGAATGTATTAGTTTGCCCGAACTGGGCAGGAGGAGATGGGCCCAGGATCAGATCCCAGGGCCATCTGGCTTCAAAGCCTTTGCCCCCTTTCTTGCCCTGTGCTGCCCATGAGGCTGGACTTCGCTCTCTTGGTTAATGGTCTTTAGACATCTTAGTGGTGAATGCCTTTTTGTCGATTAAATCTTAAACCCCAAGTTCCAGTATACAAAAGCAGATCGAATTGTACTTCATTAGCATAAATTTCTCCTATATTTAAATTTTTAACACTTATGAGATCAACTAATGAAAATAGTAACTTCCTTTTTAATAAACTCCCTTATATTGGAATAATTTAAGATTTCCAGGAAAGCGGCACAGATAGTACAAAAGGATCCCAGATTCACCACTCCCCAAACCCCCACCCCTGTGTCTTCTTTCTGTGCCAGCATCCTGCTTTGCATTTAGTTATAATGACTTTCTTTTGACAAACTTGAAAAAATGAAGTCAGGAATTATGTTAATTCTCAAATGCTCATCTTTGTGATTCAAAGTAAGATGCTGCCTTGAACATTTAGGAAAACTTACAAACTACCTGTGAACAAGGTATGAAGCCAGGGGCTGCAAGCATGTGGTTGAGCAGCCTGCACCCAGAATACTGTCTTAAGGTTATCCGGATAGTACAGCCCAGAGGGGGAGCCAAGAACACATGCCCAACAAATTTATTCGACCTTTCCTAGTCTGCTAGGGCTGCCCGGCGTATACTATGGACTGGGTGGATTAGCAGAAATTTATTTTTTTCACAGTTCTGCAGCCTGGGAGCCCAGATCAAAGTCCCTGCCAATTGGTTTCTAGGGAGGACTCTTCTGACTTGTAGGTGTCTGTGTCCTCATGTGACCTTCCCTCGCCCCGGTGCAGGGTCGAGAGGGGGTGGGATTATCACTGTATAGATCAGGCCCCGCCCATACAACCTCATTTAACCTTAATTGCCTCCTAAAGACCCCACCTCCAAATACAGTCATTTCCAGAATTAAGGCTTCAACTTGGGGGGTGAGGGACGGGCACAATTCAGTCCATAGCATAGTCCAAAAGCTGAAATTATGTGGAATCTTCATAATTCAGCCTCAAGACAGTGTGACTATTGTACTGTAGTGTCTCCATTCTGTACAGTATGTTTATGCAGGTGGAGATGTGGTTTTCTTTGGTAAAACACTTGCCCGTGCAAGAAAATGTTAAATATTTTGTTCACACTTTAATACTCATTGAGTAAGTTAACGAAAACTATAATAGAGTTTCATCTAACAGTTACTGCAAAAGTCATGGCAAGAAAAACACTTCCAAAGTGATTTTTAAAATGCTATTACCAGAAGTTTTCCGGTGGTCATTAGATTTTTACATAGGCATTAATAAAGCTACTACATCCTTCAGGATAATGCCAAGCAATGCCATACAATTATTGTTATCTCTCTGGCCCATGTGCTCTAGAATTTACTTTTGGATGCCAAAGGTCATTTACTGTACTGGAAAGGGTGCAGGTGCAGACACTTCACATGGAATGAAAACCACTGGGGTTTGGTTTGTGTTTGTTGATAAAGACGCCAAACTAGCTGACTTTATCTCAGCTGGTGGGTGGACCCTCTTACCTATTTCTCAGTGACTTAACACTGCAAACCAAGTGGGTCCATGGTAGATGTATTGACTGTTGATGCTGGCAATTTTAGTTTTGGAGGTGGGATGAATGGTAATACCATGGGCTGGGTGGATTAGCATGGTAATACCATTAATCAAGAAAATTATGTGAAGAGGAACAGATTGAAAGGTAGGAAAGAGAGAACTTGAAGTGTCTTCAGGTGATCCAGGTAGAGAGAAATACCTGGAATTCTTTGGAATTTTGATAAAAACAAGTAATATTCTGTGGTAGCTATAAGTCGTCATCTTAGAAGACTTTTTTTTTTTTTAATAAAGAGGGTTTACCATTGAATCTGGGTATTATGGGAAAGAAATAATTTAGGCTTAAAAAACTACAAAATGGGGCCTCCCTGGTGACGCAAGGGGTTAAGACGCAACCTATGAAGCTAGCCGCAGCCACTGCAGCACGAGTTCGATCCCCAGCCAGGGAGCTACCCAAATGGTGCAGCAGACCTCTCCTGTCTCGCCCAGCTGCTCCCCTCAGCAGTGTATTTCAGTCAGTCTGCCTGTTCTATTCCCCACTCTGTCTCTGGTGTTCTGTTCCCCACTCTGTCTCTCACCCTCCCCACACACACACACCTCTGGCCTGTACCCTGGCTCTTGTATGCATAAATAAATAAATCTTTTTTTAAAAAACCTGCAAAATGGGTAACTGGTTGACCACAGTATTCATCTAAAGAACCTAAATTTAGGAACCTTTCCATTCTGTTGCTGCAGTGATATTTTATTGGAGAATTCTATTAATGCTCCAACATATGATTTGGTAAATTGTGGTATTTTCAATAACTAAGGTATTGATCAAGCACTTTTACTTGGATGAAACCCTGTCACAAGTTTACACAACCCTTGGGTTCTTTTTTTCTCCCAGCTTTACTGAGTCATTGATGCATGTAACTATATATGTGTAAAGTGTATGATGTGATGATTGCCAAGATCAAGATAGTCAAACATCCCTTACCTCTGATGTTACTTTTCCTCTTGTGTGTATGAGGGGCTGTGCTTAGGATCATCACACAGAGAATTCAAGTGTGCAGTAGTACCATGTTAACTACAGCTACCCTGTCCTTCCCTACATTCTGGGACTTATCCATTTAATAACTGGCCTACATCTCCCCATTTCTCCCTCCTCCCAGCCCTTGGCAAACATCATGTAGATGATACCATGCAGAATTTGTTTTTCTCTGTCTGGTTCATCTCAAATAGCATAGTACCCTCCAGGTTTATCCATGTTGTTGCAAATAGCAGGATTTCCTTCTTTTTAATGACTGAATATATTCCATTATATAGGGATATATGTAATTCATGAGTAAGAAAGTATAAAATGTAAGATATCTATATATATGTAATATATATATATATATATATATATATATATTTCTTACCCATTCCTTTATCAGCTAACATTTAGGTTGTTACCATATCTTGGCTATACTGAATAATGCTACAGTGAACATAGGAGCACAAATATCTCTTCAAAGTATTGATCTTATTTCCTTTGAATATATGCCCAGAAATATGCTGGATCATATGGTAGTTCTATTGTTAACTTTTAAATCCCCCTCCATACTATTTTCCATAATGGGTATACCAATTTCCTTTCCCATCAGTGGTACACACAGTTATCTTTCTCCTCATCCTTGCCAACATTTGTTGTTATTTATCTTTTTCATAATAGCCATCCTAAGAGGTGTGAAGTGATATGGAAATTAAGAAAGCAATCCCATTTACAGTAGCATCGAAAAACAATATAGTATTTAGTAATAAATTTAACCAAGGAGATAGAAGACGTGTACTGAAAACTATAAAACACTGATGAAAGAAATTGAAGAAACAAATAAGTGGAAAAGCATTCTGTGTGTTTGGATTGGAAGAATTAATATTGTTTTAAAAACCATAGTATCTAAAGTGATCTACAATGCAATCTCCATCAAAATTCCAATGACATTTTTTCCACAGAAATAGAAAAAAACTACCCTGAAAATTCATATGGAACCACAAAGGACCCCAAATAGCTAAAGCAATCTTGAAACAAAGCTGGGAACATCATATTTCCTGATTGCAAATTATAATACAAAGCTATAGTAATCAAAACAGTAGCCTAGAAATAAACCCATGTATACATGGTCAACTACTCTCTTTTTTTTTAACTGATGTAACATTGGTTTACATCACCACTATGGTCAATTATTCTTTGACAGGTGTGCTAAGAACACACAATGGGGAAAGGATTATCTCTTTAATCAACAATATTGAGAAAATTGGATATCCACATGCAAAATAGTGAAACTGACTCCTACCTTATGCCACACACACAAAAATTAACTTGAAATGGATTTAAGACTTAATTATAGGACTTTGGGTTCTTAAGATTATACTTCAACTGAAAGTACTACCCACAAGTATAAATCCTTCTTGAATCTGTAAAAAATGCAGTAATTTTTCATGGCAACAGCATGTATTTCTCTGGGTTACTGGTTATTTTCACCTTTTCAGCTCACATTCACCTTTGGCTGTAGAGGCTCACAGAAAGGCTCAGGTGGTAGGGGCCTTTCTGTAGTTTTGGGGGGAAATTGCTGCTTCCATCTGTGCTTGCTCTGGAGAACCAGTCTATTCACCACTGCTCTGCCGTCTGGGCTGCTCCCAGGCGCCCACGCATTGGAGAAAGCTTCTCATGGCCTGTTTTCTGCTTGCAGGTGATCCCCATGCTTCCCAGGCTGCTGTGCGAGGAGCTGTGCAGCCTCAACCCCATGACCGACAAGCTGACCTTCTCAGTGATCTGGACGCTAACTCCGGAAGGCAAGGTAACAGCCTACGTGTGTGTCCTTCCCATTCCCCGAGTCCCTGGTAGTAGGTTGGGGGTTGGAGAGAGCCTGCAGCCCTGGAGCCTCTTCTAAGAAACTGTCCATGTCATTTAGAAGGTAAGACTGCCCCTATGCAATCGTAAACAAATTACTTATTTCTAGTCTTTTAGACAAAGGAAGAACCTATATAAAAGAAGGGTATGGAGGGGAGGCCTTGTGTAAACAAAGAGGGTGTAAATGAAGGTGCGTGTGGACAGGCAGAGGCAGGAGCAGCCTGGGCTTCAGTCGGGAGAGCAGGCCTCTTGTGGAGGAGGCCATTTGGAGACAAGGGGAGAGAGGGTCTGGGAAAGACCAGGGCTATGTCATTGTGTGGGATGACCGGGAAGCTTGAAGAAACAAGTAATTGGAAAAGCATTCAATTCAGTTAGCAAGGAAGTGCCATCATCAAGGGACAGGTGATGAAACCATGGGCCAAGAATGATAGGAAAAGAATGTCAGCAGGCTTTCCCTAAATATAGAGCGTAAATGAGACAGATAAATAAAAAGTGACTCTGGTCTCCTCCCCAAAACAAAAACATTTCTAGATAATGATTAAGGAAGCTACAGTGCCTCTGCATGGGATGGGACGCTGTTCACGAAACTGCTGCTAAATATTATGCTGTTACTAAAGCTGTTACAAAGACCATGTAAGAACAGGGGAAATGTTTATGTTGTAATATTAAATGGAAGTTTAAAAAAAAGATATTTAATTATAAAGAGGTTTCAAGTAAGATGGAGGATCAAATACCCACATTTGCTTTCATTCCTTCCCAAAACCTCACTAAAACAACAGTGAAAAGATTTTTTTTTTTAAGACATAAACCCACAAGGACAAAGAGAATGGGAGAGGAGACAACAGCAACAAAATTTTGGAAGCTGGGAAGCAGATGGATGAGTGGTAACTGACTTAGCAGTCCTGAGAAAGCTGAATCCTGAGCCAACAGTAGGAAAAGCCAAGAAACAACCCAATTTACACAGCAGAACCCTAAAAAAACCTCAGAAATCGACAGCACCATTAACTCTGTATAATGGGGAGGAGGCCGGTGAAGACAAGACTACCCATAGACTTGGTGGACAGTTTTTTTTAAAGGCGCCCCTCCTGTGAGTTTGAAGAAGAGCACCAATGTATGGTCTGGGCAGGGTATGGTGAAGGACGTGAACGAGAAGGCCCAGCACAGGGACGATGGTGCTGCCCTAGGGAAGGCTGCGTGTGGGCACGGCCGACGTGGAATTCCAGCTTTCTTTTCCAACTGGCCCCAGAATTCTAGAAGCCACGCCTATACTCTTGAATCAGGAGATGGGAAAATCTTTCTCTGATGAATCTGAGTGGTGAAGAATAAAGACTTGAAGATAATAACCGCAAGGGTTTCCCCACCAATAGTCCAGCTGTATCACCCCACAATCAGTAAGCTCTACCCACACAATCAGAGCATTTGAAGATTTTACTAAAAATCAGCCTTTTTGTATTTCACCTTCATATATGAAGTGACCAAGACAAAGCCTACAACATGAAATCGAAAACTAAGGTAGACCACAGAGGGAGAAAAGAGACTATTATTATATCCTCAGAGGAATTTTCTTACAGGAAATAGTATTTATATTACAAGACCTATATACTTTAAAAAGGAAACACTGAGGGTGGGGGAAGGAACTCTTGGAAATTAAAGACGTGATAGAAGAAATAAATGAAAACTCAAGATTCTGGTTGGAATATAAAATGGAAGAAAAGATAAGAAAATTAGCAGCCCAGTCCTAGATATCCAACATCTATTCCACAAGCATTCAGAAATAGAGAAAGAGAAAACAGAGGGGAAGAAATGATAGCCAAAATAAATCAAAGAAATGCCCAGTGGCTGCAAGGTATGACTTTCCAGACTGGAATAGCCCTCCAGCCTGGTGGAGATATCATTTCCAAGCCATGCTGTCATAAAATTTCAGAACACTGAGGACAAAGAAAGAGTCTTTCCTGTTTTTGTTGTGTTGTTCTGTGTTGGTTTATTTTTTTCCCTGAATCCAGGTCTTTCTTGACTTACTCTTAGAAGGTTAAAAAAAAAAAAAAAAAGTCAGGTACATTAGATCAGAACTCAGAATAACTTAAGGTGTTTCTATCTCAGCCCTAGAAGCTAGAGGATAGTGAAGCAGAACTTCCTGATCTGAAAGACTGTGATCTCATGCTAAAGTTCTATACCCAGCTAAGCTATAATAAAATGGAAGTGTAGAAAAGATGTTTTCAAGCAAAGTCTTTAAAAAAAGTGCCTCTCATCCAGCTTTCTCAGGAAGCTACCCATAGATGGGGTTTCCCAAAACGAAGGAGCATCTCACGAAAGAAGAAGCAGTGAGTCAACAAAGGCTTGGGATTCAAGCCTAAACAGGACCAGTAATATGTGATGGGCCACGTTGTCTTGACCCCAGACACTCCATTCTGTTGTGCAGGAAAGTAAATGTACAAAGAGGAATGAGCGTGACTGTGTTCGGGGTGGCAGGCTGGAATTTGGCCCACAGGACTTCCAGCTGACTCCTAACCTGGCTGAGGTGGTGGAGAAAGTTCCTCAGGTGCCAGCTCCACCCAAGTGAGAAGGCAGCTGGTGGGGCGGGAGCCTGTCAGAAGGTTCTCAGAGAGATCTCTGAGGAAATGGGATCTTTAAAATTCCTTTGTGTTTGAATTTCTTGAGAAATTATTTAGACCAGAAGTTACCAGACTTTTTCATCTCAGGATCTGTTATACTAAAAAATTATCTAGATTCTTAGAGGTCTCTTGTCTATGTTGATTACCACCACTTGTCATGTTAGAAATCGAAATTAAAGCTTAAATATTCACCCATTTCAATTAAAATAACAACATACTATCAAATAAAATGTTAGGAAAAATAACTGCTAACATAACAATCAGGAGAAAAGTGTGACATTTTCACAGATCTCTTTCATGTGTGTCTTAAAGAAGACATTAAACTGGATTTCATATTTGCTCCTACATTCAATTTGTTACAATTTAATAAATTCAAGTTGCTCAGATTGATGTATATGAACAAGATCCAGCTTTAGCCAGATATGTAGTTGGAAAGGAAAGGAATATTTTAATGGCTTTTTCAAATAATTATGGATATTCATCTTTGTGTTACACCAAAGTCTGACTAGTAGTTTCTTTTTTTTTTTAAGAATTATTTATGCATACAAGAACTGGGGTGGCCAGAGGTACAAGGGGTGAGAATTCACCAGAGACAGAGTAGGAAGCAGCACAGGTAGATCAACTGAAATACACTGCTGAGGGGAGCAGCGGGTGAGACAGGAGAGGTCTGCTGGGCCATGTGGATTAGGTCCATGACCCCTCATGTCACTGTATTTGTATGTGTCTCTATCAGGAGATAATTAGAGTTAAATGAGGCCACAGAGTTGGATCCTGACCTGGTAGAATGAAGGTCCTTCAAAGAAGAGAGCTTGCCCTTTGCTCCTTCCACAAGGACACAGTGAGAAGGTGGCCATGTGCAAACCAGGATGGGAGCACTCAACAGGGACTCTTCAGCTTCCAGAACTGAGAAACAGTTGTCAGTTGCTAATCCCCACCAGTCTATGGTATGGGGCAGCCCTGGTGGATAAATACAGTATCAGTTGAACTTCTTGTACTGGGCTGCATTAAAATCTGTGGGTCTGTTTTACACTTTGAATGAATCTTTTACCCTCACCTGATTTTTTAACATTGTGTATTGGTCATTTAGGAAATATTGGCTGTTACGTTAGTCGTCTACATCACAGCAAAAAATCACAATTGCTCACATCACTACCAACCTTAGCCAAGACTTTAAGGAAACTGATATGCATATGTGTCAAATACAAAGTCTCCAAAATTCTAGTTTTGGTGAAAGCTCAGATTTTTATCATTGGCAATAAATCCTGTCAGTTGTTGCCCTTAAAGTGCCAGATACGTGAGTCTAAATGACCGAGGTCTGCGTGCCAGGGGTTCGTTCAAGTGAAAGTGGTGCTCTGTGAAATAAGCAGGCAGTTCAGCTCACAGCTCAGTTACATAAATGCTTTCCCTCAAATAACCATCTTTGGCACACAGTGTAAGTGAAAAAGACAAGTACTTAAGGGTTGAGGCATAATAAAATTAATAACTTCTGTTTCATCAAGAACATTCTTACATAAACTAGCTTTTGCTGTCTTGCAAGTGTGAGGTGCTGAAGGCTCGGGACCACCAGTGCCCCATGTGGCTGTGGCCTGAGGCCCAGTGCTCCCCCTTCCAGGACTTTGGTCCATCCTAATGGGTGGATAATGCCTTAGGATTCTTATGAGAATAGATTTGATCCCAGGGCCCCCCCACCCCCAGTACTTAGACCATCCTTGAGAATCACTGTTTTTGACAGTTGGTGGAAAGTTTGAGGTAGATTAATGCACATAGTAGATTACAAGACAATTATTAATTCCAGTGGAAATAAAAAGTTGTGTTGGAAAGAAAAGGAGCACTGAGTATTTACATAACCACAATAGTTAATCCTGATGGCTCTGATGTGACTTTATTGGGAGGATGAGGGCCTGGAAGGGTTATGTGGGTTTAGTGGGGGGGGAGGGTATGTAAGTAGAAAGAAAAATAAATTCTCTTCTTCAGAGTGAAAAATAAATCTCTCTTCTTCAGAGTAAAAACTTTGTGAATAAAATCCCTGAAATGTCAGGGATAGCAGTCATGGAGGCCACATAGGAACTTGAAAATACCCAAATAATCCGTTTAAATGAGATGAAAGTGACCTCGCTTGGGGAAGCCCAGACAAGGGACGGAGGGACAGAGGGGCTGCTGTTTTTTATCACATGCCTTCAAAGCACTCTGACTTTAATTTTTTGATTTTTTTTTTTCACTTTGAAAAATTTCAAGCACACATGAATGTCAACAGCACAGTAAACCTACCTTCCTATGTTCCGGCTTCAGCTGCTGTCAACGCTTTTTTTTCCCTAAGCTACAATATTTTTAAAGA